ATACTAAAATATCTAATTTAATCTAAAATATCAAAAAAATGTATAAAATTATTACAAATAATTATTAAAAAATCAATCTAAAATATCTAATTGAAATTGTAAAATTTCATTTTTCTTAGTTAGTAAATATTTTATTATAAAACTAGTAATTTTTCACTATTAGTATTTTTTTAATATTAGTATTATCACAAAAATTTTACTAAAATAATATAGTAATATTTAATACTAATTCTAATATTAGTATGTTTACTATTAAATTAGTAATTTTCTACTATTAAATAAATAGTTTTCTCTTAAAAATTAGTAAACTTCTGCCTTTTTGTTATAAAAAACAATCTCTTACTCTTTAATTTGTAAAAAACTACTAATTTATTTATTAAACTCACTAATTTATTTAGTGAAATAAATGACTTTTAATTAGTGGAATTCCACTAAAACATTAGTAAAATTTTACTAAAAATTAGTAATATTCTACCTAATAAAATTCTTCACAAAAATTCAATTATGTTCAAAAATTTTAAAAAATGAGTAAAATTTTACTATTTCTTAGTAGAATTCTACAAATTCCGATTTAGAGAGTCGAATTTAAATTGCATTATTAAAATTACAATTAACTGAACCTACCATTGATTACTATAATTTGATACTGGTTTCAAAATAATTCCCAATTTTTTATAAATTACTATCGACTGAAGAAATAATTTTAAAAGCAATTAATTAATTAAATCTATTTCTTCAATTATTGAATAAAGAAATGAACTTAATAACGAACTTTAATTTAATAAATAAATGAACTATAGAATTTTTTAAATTAAATTTCATGAATTAAATTTAACAAATTTGCCATATCATTTAATATCAGTGTCAATCTATAGTTATACTCTGTACCAATGGTAGATTGAATTAATTGTAGATTTAAAAAATAACTCAATCTAAATTTTACTAAACGACTTTCAAGTTTAGAGAACTGGCTAATAGTATAAAAATTAGCTAATAGCTAATAATTAGTTAAGAGTTTCTAAAAGAAAAAATTTGAAGGTGACCCAAAGTAACCAAATTTAGTCATTTTCGTTAATGTGCGGTTGTCACGAACATAAATCCAATATCTTTCATTCCGAAACAGTCACAATTTTAGAAATTAGTTTGCATTTTTTTCCTTTTTTTCTAAATATCCAGTTTGGGTCATTTTTCAAACTATTTAAAATACTGTTAGAGTTCTTCTTTTTTTTGCAAGAGTATGATAAATTCAAACAGATGACTAAGGTCGATATTTTTTCATCGAATCTTTATTCTCTCTTTTTGAGAGAGAAAGAGAAAGAAAGAGAGAAATTGAGAGGAAAGGAGATGAAGAGGGGAAAGAAGAGAAATGGAGATAAGGAGAGAAAAGTTGATAAAGAGAGAAAAGGAGAGAAGAGAGAAAAGGAAAGGAGGGAAAGGGAAAAGAGGAGAGAGAGAGAGAACGAGATAAATAGAGGGAGGGAGATGAGAAACACGTAATTAAGCAGGTAACGGGTGTAAGTTTCGAGGAAGAAGTGGCCAGAACAAGCAGTTAGTAGGATCCTGTGGAGGGACGCTGAGCGTCGAGCCGTCGGGCGGTCGGTCATCCCAGAGAATGTCCAATTGCCCATGCAGCGTGCCAGAGAGCTTGGTATAAATATGTAAATACAATGTCCACGTCAAAGGCATAAAAAGCTAGGATATATGGTCTGGTAATTTCTTAATTGCGTCCCGAAATTCTTGTCATCATAAAGAGGCAGTTGATTATATTTTGAGACGAGCTCGTGGCGCCGGGGGCGGGTATACATATACATGCAGCAGCCTTAGATGATGAAGAAAAAAAAAAGATGATTGAGGTGGGAAATTTTTTTCACCACAAAAATTACACTTTACTCACAATAATATTTTATTTTCTGTGTGAGAGTATATTTGTGCAGAAATTATGACGACGACCACTTTTTGTGGAAAACTCGAAATATTTTATAACGCACGTTCGCTCGAAATTGGAATCCCCTATGCACCAAAAATGGTCCTGCTAACTATAAAATAAGATTTAAAATCTTGTTTAGAATGTATTCTGATCTCATCTTCCCTAATGGTCATATTTATTATTTTTCATTTCATATTTTATATGTATATTCAATTTTATATTCAATTTTACACATTCCACTTTTTTTGTATACATACGGGATTTTTTTTCGTTTAATATAGAATTGATCAGGTACTAAAAGTCATGAAAATATTCGTATACATTTTTTCGAATCGAGGAAAATTGGTTTTATTTTCCTGATTGGTTGTAAATTTCCTCCCCACGACGAAATAAATATATTCTCGTTATTTTGAAAATAGGGTTGACACTAAAGAAAACATCATCGGTAAATTTTTACTTCGTTTGAATTGCATGAAAAGAAAACAAAATTTTTTAAAAAACTATAAATTTTAAAAGTAGTAGTTGAAGTAGTAGTTTAAAGAATTCGTATAGTTGTAGCAACACTGATTAACAAAATTTGTTTTCTCCAAAAAAAGGTAGGAAAAAATTCCCATTATAATGAAAGCAAATTTTTTTTTCTCTAAAAAGGGACATAAATTAATCGTGCAATTCACATATTAACACCTTTCTGTCGTTTCGACATGATGTTTTTTTTTGTTTCTCCCATCATATACCCTCCCTGAAGACAGTTTAATTTAATCAGAAAATGAAAGGAGACAGTCATAAATGTTTTACTACTCATTTGCTAGACGAGGAATAAATAAGATTGGAGATATGAATCAGTTAGAATCACGAAGTCAGATGAGAAGATAGGTGCTTCAGATTATTCGAATGCGAATGATTTGCTTTTATATAGCAAAAGGAAGAGTCGTAGTACATGATTTACAACATGAATTTTCAGAAGGCAGAGGAGAAAAAAAATGCTGAAATTTATAATAATTCGTTTATTATTTGGTTCATTGCCAAGAGCAGAGGAATCTGCGGTAATGAAATATATAGCTGTAGTAATATGTTAGCTGTAATATGTTTACATTTTTTTTTTTTGCAATTCGTTACTTTGGAAAATGAAAAAAAAAATTTTGTTTCATGTTTTTCCATTAAAATGTTGATCCATTATCGTTATTGAACTTCCCACGGATAAATTAACTGTGAATATAGTAGCTGACATGCTTTTAATTGCTGCCCTTGTATAACTAAAGGAACATTATTATAGAAATATCGTTAAGGAATATTCGTGAAATTGAGAGAGAAGGAAAGAGATGAAGAGAAATAGAGGGAGAAAAGAGAGAGAGTGTAGTAATTAATCCATAAATTATATGTTCAATTTTGCACAATGATTATTTATATACCATGTTTCTGAAGGTAGTAAAAATAGTTAATTAATTTCTCCGCGGATATGATTGAAAAACTACAAGAATAACTCATTGTTTATGTTCCCAAAGTGATATTTTTCAGTTTACTTCATTTAATTTACATTTTTAATTTCTACTTGCAATTATTAATTTTTACTCTAATTACTAAACATTTACTCTATTTGAAAATTCGAACGTTTGGTAATTAGAAATTAAATAATGAAAATGAATGAACTGAAAAGTATTGTAAATTATTTTTACTTCCCTTATTTTCGATTTTTAATTTCATTTCTATTTTTAGAGAACTACTTTGTAGTACCTATACTTAAATATTATGTAGTAACTTAAAACATTTTTTTTTGTTTTTGAATCGAATAATGAACTATTCTTGATAATTTTGTTACTGGGGAGATTAAAAGTATCAGAAGGATTATGATGACTCTTCGTTTTGAATCTTTTATGTTCCAAAATGTATACAGTGATTGGATTGTTTTGAGATGAGCTGGAGGATTCAAGGTTGTATCCTTTTTTTTGTTCACCTCGAAGATCAAAAGATTCTGATTGTTTCTGATCATGTATATGGTATACAAGAGGAGTGTTACAAAACTCGATAATAGTATTTCGTTTTGTTTGTCGTTAGAGTTAATTTTAAGGGGCAATTTTTTATTCTTATCGAAAAATTCTTTCAAACTTGTCAATTCTTGCGCATTTCTTTATCAATTTTTATTGTCTCTGGAATAAATTTTTCTATTCCGAGGAAATAAGTTTTAGAAAAAATAAGTCTCTAAAGCTGAATTAGCGAAAAGTCTGTTAATTTAAATTAGTAAAAATTTCTCCTAATAGTAAATTTCCAGACAACTTTTTAATTAAATTTTAACAAGAAATTTAAAACTACTAAAGAGTTAAGTTATTAATAACTTTGTTGTTAGTAGTAACTAATTGTTTTAGTTTTGTTGCGTCAGAATTAGTAGAAATTTTTACTGATTTAAATTAGTGGACTTTTCGCTAATGCAAATTTAAAGAGTGAATACAAAAGGAGTATTACAAAACTGGCTGAATAGTATTTAGTTTCGCTGTTGCATTTTGTAGCTAGTGTTAATTTTTTATTTGCAAACTTATTCCGAATATTTGCCATCGTACGATCAGCAAGAAAAATTAGTTTAATGCATTAAGAATTATACAACAATTGTCCATGAAGTATTTGTAAAAAATCTTTTACAGATTCTTTAAGGACAATTTTTATCAAATATTTTCGCGTTATCTTTTGAGTACTATATTTATATACAATTTTTTTTGTTGGTCAACGTTGTGGACTTGAAATTAGTGTATCATAACAGGTGCGAGATTATGCCAGTGGATGTTTCAAGATTGAAAATCAACAAAATTTTTCGGTTTCTTCTCGGAATGAATCGATTCCTTGTTGTGAATGTTTGTTTTCGGAGGGATATGGAAGTGATGTTGATAAAAGTTATCTGTCCTTCGGAACTTGTTTCGACACCTGGTTAGAAGCTAACTGTTTTTATTTTCGTTTTTATTATCATTTGCAAGATATGAAAATGACTAATGTTGGAAGTTGGATGTCAGTCTTTCTGTACAAATTTTGCTAAATAATTTAGAGAGCTTTAGAGAGTGTGTGTTGAGAATGTAAAAATGAGACTTACCGGTATGCGTTCTCTTGTGAATCTTCAAATTTTCCGACCTGGCGAAGACCTTGCCACATCCTGGGAACGGACATGGAAATGGTTTTTCGCCAGTGTGTACTCGGATGTGATTGACGAGTTTGTACTTGGCCTTGAAGGCCCTGCCATTTCTGGAGCAACCTTGCCAGAAACACGCGTGCGTCGTGCACTCTGGACCGCCCACGTGCTCAACTGTCAGATGCGTCACGATGTCATGAAGTGAATTGAAGACCTTACCGCACAGCTTCCTTCCCGAGCCAGGAGCATCCTGATCAACCCACATGCAAGGCATCTCCTGCCTTTGATTATTCGTCGTACCACCGCCCGTTCTCATGTACCTGAGGAATGCACCGTGCGGATGATGACTCGGATGATTGACCGAGGGGTGTTGTTGATGGTGAATCGACGGCGTCAAATGTGGTGCTCCTAAATACTGATGATGAGGTGGTGGCGGTGGTGGTGGAGGCAGTCTACTGTCCTGAGGATAGTGGCCAGGATAGTGACTCGTCGCCGTTAAGGGATGTTGACCAGGATGATGGGGAAATTGTTGCATACCGCCGGCCGAACCGTCGTGATGCAATGGTGTAAACAAACCCAAACCACTCTCGGGCGTTGTTGCGTTTGCCGTCGCATTGAATTCGTGTTCCCTTCGAAGGAGGAAATCACGTGCCGCATAACCTGGATGATGACTCATGTGGTGACCCATGTGAGGGGCCATGTGTGAGCCGGGATGCGGATGATGTGGGGCATAACTCTGGGGATGAAAGTGATGATGCTGTTGCACTGGAGCATCACCTGGAGAAGGTTGAACGTTTGAGTCCATGCAACCGGTAGGACTATTCGAGGGTGACAACTTGATCCCAAGAGATGCTAAATGATGAGGGTGTGTTGGCACCCCATCAAGAAAGGCGTTCATCATTGTGAACTCCTGCTTTATTCCCTCCAGTTTGAATCGATTGTTTCTGCAATGATTCTCTAATTTTGTCACGACAAAGTGTTGATTAAATCCAAAAAAGAGTTTCTCGATTCCTTATGGCGAACTACTTGAGTCGCCTCCTCATTACGAACTGATTCTAAATCAAGAGACTTTAATCACTATTTCTAGATCACTCCCTTTTTTAGTTTTCAATTTCTCAATCACTTCTCTATTTGGTTTTGTACTGTTCTATTTAATGCTTTCCTTTTCCAGTTTAAGACTATACACTGTTTTTTTTTTGTCACTTGATCACAAAGGTCACTCACTATGCACAAATCCAGTAGTTACAAAATCACGAATTTTAAATAACACTATTAAAAAAAAACTTTTTTTTGTAAGTGTTACTTTAATTTGTTTCCGATGGTTTTTGAAAATTTTCGCGATAACAAGTTAAGATATTTTTGAGAAATGTAAGAAGTGTGTAAGTTGTGTGTTTGCGGTAGGGAGAAAATCCGTGGCGTTCCTTGCTGCGTTCACAGCGGGACTGAGTTGTTGGAAGCACGATCACTCACCGCGGGGTAACATGAGAAATTTTGGGGAGAGGACCTTAAGGACCGCCTTCTTCCTACTTTTATCTTGTTTGAACATGTTTCTCTAGGATACCAAACGCTCATTGGTCGTGAATGGCTCACTGGCCATTGGAACCGGTTGTTAGACGGGATGTTAATCTTCAGGCGTGGCTTTCTCGAGAGCGCATGATCAGGATCCGCCTTGAGAACGCCCAACCACCAAAGGATTGTGGCAATCGAGAATTTCTTCTCTTTTTTTCTTTGCTCCATAACAGAGCACTGTTTAGTGTTTTACAACGAGGTACTGTTTCTCCTTATCTGGTGGAAAAATTCACAGTTTTTCTAAGGATATAAAAATTGAGGCAAAAAACGTAGCAAAATTGTTGCCATGCAACAATTTTAATACGTTTTTTGCCTCAATTTTCATATTCTTCGAAAAATCGTGTTAGGAAAAAATAAAGTGATTGTTCATTTTGGAAAAATTGTCAAAAGGATAAAGTTATGTTTATAATTATGTTGTTGCTATGGATATTTAAATTAATCACTTTTGACTAATGAAACTGGACCGTTTCGTTTATTGAATTCATTAATAAGCGTTTTCATTAGTTAAAAATAACTGATTGTTGGTTAAAAATAACTGATTGTTAGTTAAATATAACTGATTGTTATTACAAACTGTTTAATTTGGTAGAATATTTTTAAAATTATTTAATATTATTTAACAAGTGACAAAAGTAGGAAATGTTCAGTTTCAAAAATTTAAGAAGTCATTAAGTACGGGTTAATTGCTCAAGTATTAAATATAATGATAATACTTTCAAAGGAAACATAAATCAGTAAAATGTAATTAAATGCAACAGAAAGTTAAAATAATAGGAATGAAATTCAATTGATGTTAGTTTGATAAGATTTGTATTTCATTCTTATATTTCACAGCATTTATTTGAAATTGAAAGTATAATTTTCAAGCTGATGAAAATTTAATCGATTTCGGTAATTTTTATTACATTCTTATATAACTTTCCTCTTTTTATTATTAATCATCATAGGATTATTATCAAGGATTATTAATAATCAACGATAATTATCATAATGTATTAAAAAAAAGTAAAAATTGAAAATTTTTGAAAATTCCAACGAGCATAACATCACTTTCTTTGTATTCTCAGTAACTAATTAGTAAGGATTACTTAAAAACGGAGACTAAAGGATCAAAGACCTTTTTCCCCTTTAGAAGAACAATAATTCAGACATAAATCTATCATGATAATTTATAATGAACAGACATCTATATTAAGATTATTTTACCTTCAACAAAAGGGTGTGTTTATGTTGGAGAATAAAACTCGAAATCACTTTTCGGGAATAATAATTTTTACCCCTAAATTATTGATTCGGCAATTGTTTTTATTATATTCAGGAGATTATAAAAATAAAAGAGGCAAACAATGTAGGAGAAAAATTTACAACCTAAGAATGATAAACAACGGAGAACATCATCAGTAGAGTAATAAAAATGCAAATTGTTGAATTGACAGTTTCTGTCATTTTCTTATAGTTTATAATCTGTCATAAAGGAATAATAATTAAAATCTACAGAAGGAAGTACACTTCTATAATAAATATATTATTATTTACGTCATAATTAAATTAAAATTTTTTTCGGAAGGAACAAGAGATGCTGGGTAAATATCAATATTAGACGATTCGCCCTCTAAATATGAGCGCAGTTGTCTTATATGGTTATACACCTGTTTAAAGATTTAAGGTTCAGGTAATGTCGCACGTACCTCATCTGTGAGAAAAAAAAAGATTTCAGAAGTTCTCGTAGACTTTATAATACCCTGCGTTCTCTAACCTCAAAGTAACCAAAATATATAAGCCTAATAGTTTTACAATCATAATTTTATTTTCGGTTTTTGCTGTGTACTAATAAAGGTTGTCCCATCTCGCTTTTATACCTGTAAACGAATTTTCAGATTATCCTTTAAAATAAACGAAAATTGGGTATAATAAGTGGGAAGCTCTAAGTGAATCCAGTTAGTATTCATCCTTTGAAATGGATGAGAGATTTAGTTTTGACTATAATAATTTACCTGTACTTAAAGGTCTACTTATTGCACTTCGTTAATGCCAGAGAGCTAAATAAGGTAAAATCGTTGTTGAACAAGGATTTAAGATGTTTATACGTCTTTAAGGCAATAAGTACAAGATAAAAGATAAGGCATATTAGATTCTTAACAAGGGGGCTGTATTACTTAAGAGCCATTAATTTTTAAGAATATTTCCATAATTCATTATATAGTATAATGTATAAATGGTTATATGTTTATCAGTTTTTGTTCGTTCTTGTCTGACTCATCATTTTTAAAGAATTCGTACTATTTTTAGGATGTTTTCTATATATTAAGGCAAATTTTTACAAGGTTTTCTGGGCAAATTAAATAATGTGTTTGTTTTGCGTTGTTCTATTATTTCACAGTTTTTCTATAAGGATATCAAACTGAAAGAAAAAACGAATCAAAACGTTGCAATAATTCAATTATTTTCATAAATAACTAACAATTCGTCACAGTAAATCAATCATTTTTAAAAATTTTTAAGTAATTCTGCAAAAGAATTTAATTATCTTGATAAGCAACAAAATTCTTCCCATAAAATCAATTATTTTAAAAAGTTTTAATGAAATTCTTATTTCCAAAATTCAATTATTTTGATAAATATCAAAATTCAACACAAAAATGAATCTTACAAGATTATTTAATTATTTATTTATGTTTACAGACATAATTTTCCCCTTCGCTCGCTTTAAGCAGATCTGATGTTTAAAAATAATTATACCGCGAATCTAATAAGTTAGCAAGTTTCTTTTGCACTTGTCACAAAAAATAATCGTAAATTTAATATTATTTCCATACATTATTAAATAAATTATTATAATCAGGGAAGTTGTCATGATAATATAGTCAGATTAGAAAAAAAGTTTTTTTTTTTGAAATCCCACCTGTATTTCTGTAATTAAAATTATTTACCATTAAGTGCATAATTAATAAATTCAGTGTAATAATTTAAAATGTTAATTAACTATCGTTTCTTGATATATATTTAATTTTCATCATATTCTATATATATTCGAAATGAAACTAAATTGTTATTTATTTATGACTTTTAGATCAGCGCAATAACGTCATATGAAATAAGTTTATAGCAGATAATAAATTTTTTATGTGTGTAAACTATTATTTAAACACCTTTCTTATATGAGTATATTATAATTAGATTAATTATAATTTTTGTGTCGACAAAAAATTTTAAACCGAACTTTTTTATACTTTTTGCTTATTTATTATTGAAAACTATTTATATGCACTAAATTAACTAGCATAATTTATATCAAAAATTTTTTGTTGAAGAAAAATTGTGAAAATATATGTTGATGAAATAATTGATCATATTTTCGCAATAATAATTGTTGCGTTTTATTGAATTTATTGATTGTTGCACAAAATTTGTTGATAATGATATCAGGAACGTTAAATTTATTTATGAGTGTTGTACTAATTAGAAGTTAATAAGAGTTAGCTAAAGGATAATTGTACCAATAATACTAACAATTTTATTAACTAATAGTAAAAAATAATAGCAAAAAAAAACTAATAGTAATAATAATACTAGGAGAAATAATCATAATAATAATAAAAATGGAAAATAATTACAAGAAGAATAATTTGAAAAAAAAATTTTATAGATTTTATAGCATAGAAAGTAAAAAAGTTGAAGAAGATTTTGAAGAATATTTTCATTTATTATTTTATTTAACAATTTTAAAACATTAAAGAGATTATATTGAAAAGGGTATACATTAGAAATGTTTTGTAAAGTAATTCATAAAACGTAAATTGTAAAATGATTTCAAGATGAATGTGACAGATAAAGATTATGCTTGAAATCAATATAATTAAGCAATTTATATTATAACTGAAGAATATTATATTGCGCTTATGTTCCCCTCCCTAACAATAGATAACATATCATCTATATATACTTTGTATAGGTGATTATTTTTTTTCTTTCTTCTTTTTTTTGAGAAGAAAATTACCTATACACTTATATAATTCAAGACCGTTAAGTATCTCATTGACGTCACAAAAAAATGCGAATGTTCATTAGTAGACTTATAATGCACTTCGTAGCTGATGACTATTCAAAATTAATATCTCTCATAAAAGATACACATATACAATTGCGAGCAAAGACTTTTTGAATAATGCTTTCCATATCTACCTGCTGTCATTTGAAAACTCCTGTTGAGAGTTTCGATATATTTATATTTTTGCACTGTTCTCGCGTATAATAATAATAATGTGCTTTCAGTGCAGATTATAAGACGTGCAACCGCAAGCATTATACATAGTAAAAGTAATTTGGTTTCAAAAATAGCTGCTTTTCAATCATTTTGAGTCTATAAGATGTACTCTCTAAATTTTAATTAGTGAAAGTGTTTATTAATTCACAGTCTTTCTAAGGATATGAAATTGATAAAAAAATAAAAATAACTAAAAATTAACTAAAATAACTAAAATTTGATAAAAAAAAACGTGTCAAAACGTTGCTTCGCAACAATTTTGATACATTTTTTGTCTCAATTTGATATCCTTAGAAACACTGTGAATTTGAGTTATATAGTGACTGACTTTTTACTTTTGAATTTGTAAATTTCACTAATAAATTAATGAAAATTACTATTTACAGTGGAACCTCTGTTATCCGAATTGTAAATCATTTTATCCGAACTTCCTGCCTGAATTATAATTCAGATATAATAATATAATATCAGATAATCAGATAATATAAGTAGTAATAAAATATTATTGTTGTGTCTGGAAACGTTTACTACTTTTTGGAATTTTTGGAATTTTGCTATACATTCAAAGTACATTTTTCTATAATTTTTACAAACGGGTATTTTGAATGTATCAAAATTCACACCAAAAA